TGGCGGAGGTCCCGCGGAGGTGGCGCCGGCGGGTGCCGAGGGGTTTCTCGGGGGCACGGTGCAAGGTGCCCGGCGCACACGGTGCGGTCCTGCGGTGCTCGCGGCCCGCCCAGGGAGGCGGCACTTGTTCCGCTCTGTGCCTTTGGGGTGGGGGTGGGCAGGCCGAGCGCGGGCCAGGCCGCGAGCTGGGGTGATGGCCTTCTCAGGCCCTGGCGCAGGGCTGCCTGCTCCTCAGGCTCCTTTCCAGCCCGAGGGTGTGCAGCCTGAGTGTCCTTGCTCTTAGGTTGTCGATCCTGGGCTGGCCTCTCGCTCGGCCTCAGGACGGCGGTGAAATGGGCCGCTCCTGGCTCTCACAGCGGCCTGAGCGTTGATCCCATCCTGTGCGTTGGAACGCTGTGTCCGCGGAGGACTCAAGGCGGCGCTTCGGCCCTGCACCTGCAGGGGGCTGCTGTCCGTAAGGACGCAGCGGGCAGCGCCGCCTCCCTCCTCCGGTGGGGAAGGGTCTCCCCTGACACTGCTCCGCTTGTGTTCTCTTCCGGCCTAGAGCTGCAGTCTCACCTCTCCCCACCTCGCTGCCATCAAGCCAGTGACTCTCCTCCTGCTGGTCTGTGTTATTTGAACTCAGTACTCCTATGAGCAGATGAGCAGATAAGTGAGGGGGATGGGCGATGGGTCTGAAACCCCTGATTAAAGGCATGGCCTCATTTAAAACCAGTCTAAGTAACCTAGTGACATTTGCAACGGCTATTTTTATTGGATTTTGTATTGTGTAATTATTTTACTACACAGCCTTTTCCTTTTTTAAACTTTTATTTCTTTTTATTTTACATTCATTATTACAGCATACAAAATGAATTTTCCCATACGCTGAATATTGGCACAATAAAAAATATTACCATACCTATTATCTTCAATAGATAATTTTCCATTTTGTGGGTTTTTTAAAAAATAATTATTTATTATCATTTTTCAATTTTGACTAGAGAGAGGAGAGAGAGAGAGAGAGAGCAAACTGCCAGGCCTGGGACTTGAACCACAGTCTAACCTGTGGGAGTCCAGCACCCTTAACCACCACGCTACCTGCTGACCCCCATTTTGTTTCTTAACTGTTATACTTTTTTCCCCCTTGATTTCCTCCCTCTCATCCTCTATTTCCCACCCTCCTCCCACACTATCTCTGGTGTCCACATTGTTCTCCATGCCTTTATATTTCAGTGTCCAGTATTCCAGATTCCCCCCCAGAGTGCTGACATTTCAGTATATATTAAGTGGGGACATACAATGCCTCTCTTTCATAGTCTGGCTTGCTTCACTTAAAAGTAAATCTTCCGTATTTGTCCATTTTCTATCAAATGCTAGGATCTTATTTTTTTTATGGCTGAGTACTATTCAATAATGTATATGTGCCATGCTTTTTCGATCTATTCATCTGTTCGTGGACATTTGGGTTGGTTCCATGTCTTAGCAATTGTGAATAATGCTGTAATAAACCTGGATGTGCAAGTGGTTTTCCAGATGAGTGTATTCTTACTCCTAGGGTAGATAACCAGGAGTGGAATTGCTGGATCATATGGTAGTCCTATTTGTAGGTCTTTGAGGAGTCTCCATGTTGTTCTCCACAGTGGCTGTACTAATTTACATTCCCACCAACAGTGTAGGAGAGTTCCTTTTTCTCTAGTCTCTTCAGCACCTATCATTCTTTATTTTTGTAATCTTAGCCATTCTGACTGGAGTGAGGTGGTATCTCATTGTGGTTTTGATGTATCTCCCTTTTAAGGAATGTTGAGTATCTTCCCATGTGCTTTTTGGCAGTTTGTATGTCTGCCTTGGAGTTGTCTGTTCAGTTCATTTACACACCACTGCACAGTATTTTCATCCACCGTATTCACAGCAACTTTGTGGGATGGGGAAGGGATAACCTTTAACCTTGATAAGCTCTATTTTTCACCTACCAAATGCTCACTGGCACTTGACAGACCTGGAGGCCCAGAAAAGGTGTGTTGAAAGAAAAGAAAAGAAAACATGAATTTTCTTACTTGGTATGAATCTTTCAAGACTTTGTAGATTTGTATTAGGTAAAACATAAGTTCACCTGCTAATGTCAGTCAAGGAAGAACCACCACCTTTATTGAAGTTTGCTCTGGGATGAAACATGAGAAAAATTTATGAATGTGGTAATTATATATTGTGTAAATGAACTCTTAACATTTACATGTTAATTATAGACAGGGTTATACAATTATCAAATAAATTCATGATGGCTGACTAAGGTTACTGTGCTGATAAAAGTGGTATATTTTTTTCATTCTTCTCCAGGGGTGGAGGTTGGTTGTTGGTTTTACATGACGGCTGGGCATCATAACTTCTTGTTTGAACAGATTTTTGTTCAGGAAGGAATTATGGTCCTAGAAATCTTGTCCTAGTGTTGAATGTGCAGTAGATGCTGTCCTTGTTTAATAATAAAAAAAAAACAATGTGTGTCTCTTCTGGCAGTTTCTCTGGGTCCAGCAGCACCAGTATGAGTCCTTGGAGGTGGGTGACAGTTCCCTATAAGAGTCTATCTGCACATTAGATTTCAAAGGTAAGTTCAGGGGCCTGCAGGTGGCATGGTGGTTAAGGGTGCTAGACTCCCACACGGCCAACGAAAGTTCAAGTCCTAGACCTGGGGGCTTGCTTTCTTTCTCACTTTCCATCTCTATCACTCTTTCTCAATCTGTCTCTCTCTTGTCAAATTTAAATAAATAAATAAAATAAAATACTTCTTTGGGACCAGCAGTTCACGTAATGGCTATGTCGCTGGACTCCCATGTAGTCAATTGTGGTTTGAGTCCCAGACCCAGTGGCCTAAACTCACACTGGGCATGTGTGCGTGCGTGCCCAAGATCCTGAGAGGAGAATGGAGGAGAAGGGATTGCGGCGTGGCCATCACCCTGGGGGGTGACTTATCGCTTTCTGTCTCTCTGTCTCTGTCTTTCTGGTGAGCGCATGTGCCCTATACCAAAAAAACTCTCAAAAAAGAAAATTAAAAAAAAGTTAAGTTTAGGTTTCTAATGTGCTGCTCGATAAACCATATTTAGCAAAAAGAATTATCAAGTGTTTAGGCAGAATCACTAGAAACTAAACATTTTTATCTGTAGCAGAACACTAGAAAATGATGTTGTCTAATAAGAAATCATCCTCTTTTGTTTAAAAAATCCAGTCATTTCTAGGGGAAAGCATTTAGAACTAAACGCATAGGGAGAAGTATCCATAGCAGCCTTGCTCGCGGTTAGTGGGCCTTTTCACTGGAGGGCACATGTTCTTCATCACGATCCTGCAGAAAGTTGTTTCTCACATTCATGTGGCTTTGTTCTGTTACCTCTGGGGACGCTCTTAAAAAAGACCCCTTCCAGGTATTTGAAATCATTTTGTCTTCCTCAAACACAACCCATGAACGGTGGCATTGCGAGTTCAGATCACTGTGTTTCAAAGTCTAGCCCTGTGGTACGACTTGTGCCTTGAAGGTTTGATAACTATGATGAAACAAAACATAACAGAGACCACAGCTTGAAAGTGGTATGAGAGAGAGTAACATGTCTGAGTGGGAGGCAGCTGACTGTTTTGAGGCAGGTTTTTTATTTTTTATTTTTTTTGAGTCAGTTTTAAATATAATGGGATAATACTGGACACTTAAGCATGCATGTAACCAACTTCCATAAATGGAACGTTGCTACATGTAAATTTATACAAGCAATTCAAGGTGACTTTTTCACATTACAAGTGCTCAAGCAGGTCGGTGCTGCCACCCCTGGCCGCAGCCTCCTCCCACGCAGTCAGGATCCTGGGTGGCCCTGCCCAGTGGGAATTGCACCTTCACTACTGCCTGTGGATCTTGCACCACCCGAGCCACAAACCCTGCTGCACCTCCTGTGCTGCATGCTGGCCCTGAACCTGACTGCCGTTAGTTCTCCCAAAAGTAAGAGACAGAGAAACCACACCCCACCGAGGTTTTGATGCCACAACACACCCCTAGCCCTAGCTAGCCCAGACACGTGTGCCCAGCGTTCTCAGACAGGGTTCCACCAGTGAGCCTCACAGCCTTGTGTCACCACTGCCACCATCCAGCCCCTGCAGCTGACTTTTAAGTGTAATACTGAGGGACCAGCAGTTAGTGTAATGGTTGTATCACTCGACTCCCATGTAGCCAACCACAGTTCGAGTCCCAGACCCAGTGGCTTAAACCTCCATACCAGGTACATGTGCATCTGTGTTCAAAATCCTGAGAGAATGGAAGAGAAGAGACTGCAGTGTGGTTGTCCTCCTTTGGGGATATCTCATTTTCTGTCTCTCTGATGAGCACACACACCCTATAACAAAAATCTCTCTTTAAAAATCCCCAGAAAGTGTAATATTAAATCATATCTTAATGCAAATTCCTGTCTAAATTGTGTTCTCAATAGTTTATGATCATAATACACACCCTTCTTTTTTCTTGTTTTCTTCCTGGTTTTTAGCTTTCTGAATTACAACTTTCTAGGCTCAGCTTGCTTTCTGTACAGTACCTTTCCTGGAACTGAGTTGAGAGGAGGTAATGGGCCCAGCTGTGGACACTTGCTAAGACACTGCCTGCAGGTTGCAGCCACCTGTGAGACCCCAGGGTTCAATTCACAGTCCAGCCCAAAGGCCAGGTATAGTGGCATGCCCCTGGAATCCCACAAGTCAGGAGGCTGAAGCAAGAGGATGGGAGGTTGGAGCTGGTCTGGGCAGAAAAGCAAGACCCTGTCTAAAAGAGCCAGGCGCAGTGGCCTGTGTCTATAGCCCCAGCTGGGAGGGTAAAGCAGGAGGAAGGACAGTAAGGCCTGTCTTAAAAGGAAAAAAAAAAACAAAAAACTAAAAACAAAACACTGGGACCAGCAGGTGGCATGGTGGTTAGGTGCTAGAGTCACATGGCCAACCACAGTTTGAGTCCTGGGCCTGGCAGATTGCATTCTCGCTTTCCCTCTCTCCTCTCTGTCTCCTGAGCACATGTGCCCTACAGCAAATTATAATAATAATAGTGATAATTCTCTTTAAAAAGTCAAAAACCTAGTTCCGTGGCCTTGTTTGGCAAGTTTTGCTCACTATAATTATATTTGGTCCATTGTCTCTTCTTTTTTTAGAGGCTTTTGCCTTAGGGCATATGCACTTGCTGGAAAGACAGAGGGAAAACAAGAAATCGCATGGGCATGCCACAGTCCCTTCTCCTTTATTGTCCTCCTGGGCTCTTGGGCCCACGTGCACACACACCTGGTGTGATTTTCAAGCCACCAGGTCTGGGACTCAAAGTAACATACCACTATACCATCTGTTGGCCCTCTACTTGTAATGCTGTGTTTATTAGCTCATGAAGAAAATGTCCTTAACTACTAAGTACCTTTCAGAATACATCTGTGCGAAAACTAAACTACAAGTGGTCAGGATTTCCCATACTTCCCTAAATGGGCTTGCTGCTAGAGGGCACGCGTGCCTGTTCACCAGAGGGAGACAAAGAGGGAGAGGAGAAAGCACCCTCTGCGGAATGGTACGCCACAATCCCTTATCCGTTTCTCCCTCCTCTGGGAATTGTGGGCACATGCACACACACGATGTATTTCTCAAACCACTGAGTCCAGAACTCAAACTGCAGGGTTGGCCATTTGCTATCTGGCAGCCTTCACCACCCGGCTACCGAGCTGGCCCTTATGTTGGCTTTAAGAGAGATGGGGATCAGCAGAGGGAGTAATGTTTACGCTGCTGGACTCACACGTAGTTGACCGCAGTTCAGGATGTGGACCCGAGTGTGATAACTTACGCCAGGCGTGTGTGTGTGTGTGTGTGTGTGTGTGTGCCCAAGATCCTGAGAGGAGAATGG